TGAAGTATTCCCTCCATAAGATCAAATAAAGTTTGTGGAAGCCTTAATGCTTATGCTAAGGATATGTTGTCGGTGTGGAAAAGAAACAAACTTTTCTTACTCCATTGGTACCAATAAAAAGTGAGTTCAAAGTGGCATTGCAGTACATTTAAAGAGAAAGAGAGAGAGAGAGAGAGAGAGAGAGAGAGAAAGAACACTGGTGTATGTGTCGATATAACTGGATACCCGCTGCTCTTTGTGGAATGGCTAACTGTCACTATTCTACTATGAGGCAACTGAGTAATGTAGCTCATCAGCGCAGCATTCACACCTAAGTCTCTTAGTACCGATTTAGCGGCCGCAGTAGCTGAATGGTTAGCATTGCGTACTTCCTTTTGAAAGGCCACAGTTTGAATCCTAATACGACCAACCTCCAAAATTATACAAAATTTAGGTAAATGAAAAATTAAGTTAAATTTTTTAATTGCGGTCGCCCCTATGCAGGCAAAGTTAATCGCTCCAAAGATAATTGGAAGAGGAGCTCAGCCGAAAATCACTCCAGCGGTTACAAAGCTTCAATTCTATATATATATGTAATCTTTCGCGGAGTGCGGAAAAGGTATGAGGACGAACTACTCCTCTGTGGTAGACGGAACGTTGTTAAAATATTAGTTTGGCCGTGGTTTATCAGCATCCTATCCATTCAGGCACCTTATCTCAGCACAGGTAGCATCATTCAATACCACAATGTCAGTGTGGGAACTTCTAAAGGAAATTTAGAAAGTTGCAAATACCTGAAGAATCTAAGAAGAAACCAAAATTCCTCCTTACCCAAACCCTTTTAAGTTTTTTATCAGCTAGACTAAAGGACGTAATATAAACCCAAAATTCATAAGAGACAAACTTTTTAGTGCTGCCCTCGCAGAAGACTATATTTTTGACCCCCACATACAAGTCAATGCTCCACCGTGCGCTACTTAAAAATGCCGAGAGAAGAAAAAAGTAGAAAAAGGAAATAAAAAACTTTGAAAGTAAATAAAAGCAAACCGAAAAGGAAGCAAAGTATGAAAATGAAAGAATGAAAATTGAAAATTAGTTTAACGAGCATGCAAAACGTCAGTGCAGCTGACAATGCTAATACAAACTTATATATATTATTAATATATGTGTATGTGTGTATGAACAGCGATAAAAGAAGTTTACCGAAAAGAAGGCGAGAAGAACTTACAAAAGAAATGGAATAAAATCCAAATTGTTGAATGTTACCACAAATTCCATACAATTAATGCTTATAAAAGGGTTTTATGTACAAGCATCGCATAGGCCTGGCGGCAGCTCAACACACACGCACATACACCTATATTTCTACCTACACACAAGCATAACAAACGTTGTTAGGAAAAGGTAAGAACAGCCTATGATATGCATTAAAAGTTAAGCGCAGATCTAAGGAGCGCTGCGGCTCAGCTAAGCAAAATACAATACAGATACACATACACATACGCAGACATACCTACAATAGCTTATACTGTACGAGGGGATTAACAAAAGTTCGGTAAGTTGTTTTTTGTTAAATCTAAAAATACCAAATTTTTTGCAATTATTAATTTTAAATGTGGGCGATCGGCTAAAATGGAGACGAAAAACGCTAGGTAGCCGAGAATAGGTCGAAGGATATTCCACCATCAACGCAAAGAGAAATTCGCATGTGATTATCTTCGGGTTTCCGCGTAGTTTACAGCCAATATAAATGTTTAGTGAATGCAAAATTGCATACGGAACGATTGTACGGTCTCTAAAGGCTATTTCTAAGTGCTTCCGAAGATACCAGACCGGATATATTGCCTTAGAGGACGAGACCGGCGAGGCTCTACCATAATCTTCCACTGATGACGTCACTGTAGCTCTAATGAAGTCCAAATTAACGACGACCTGCGATACACACAGGAAGTGATTGGTAATGAATTGGACTTGAATGATAATAATAATAATAATAATCTGGGATGCACGAAGAAATCTGCCAGCTGGATACCACGAGTTTTAAATGAGGTCCAAGAAGAGGATTGACTGGATTTTACTCAGTTTGTCCTAAATTCGAGTTCGAAAATGGTCAGTCTAGCAACTTTAGTATAGTCGCTACTGGTGACGAATCTTGGTTCTATAAGTACGACCCAGTAATCCAACAGCAGTCCATAGTATGGAGCCCAATAGAAGCAAACCTACCCATAAAACATGAGCAACAAAAATTAGCAGCAAAAGTAATGATCTCAGTCCACTTCACCCGATCTCAAATTGTAGCTGCTATTCCACTGGAAAAGGGTCAGACGGTAACTGCAAAATGGTACACCGAAAATTGCTTACCAAAAGGTTTCAGAAATTTGTTGTAAAACAGGAATAATGAAAATTTGCGGTGCTACCTTTTACATCATGACAACCTGCTGAAACAACGAGTAACGGTTCATGCTGATCCTGATAAACCTAAAAAGCAAGATTTTGAAAACTGTTTTCAAAAGTGAATCTATGGGCTTAAGAAATGCATCGAGTTCAATGACGACTATACAGTGAAGATAAAAAAGGAAAGAGATGACGAATAATAACAAAAGAAATTTTTTTCTGCTCAACTTATCGAACTTTTGTTACCCCCCTCGTATATATGTAATTATTTTTTACTTTACAATTTGTTTACCTAATTTCAGGCCTATTCTACGCCACAAAATAAATACAATTCCTAGCAACTTGGTATGATGTATATGTATGTACGAGTGTCGACAAAACTTGTTTATAGTACGAATACAATACTAAATATGCTTGAATTGCAGCTTTTGTGCGTAGCATATTTCTTGGCGCATAACAACAGATTTTGGTTTTAAGTAATGCAGTTGTTGCTTTGTAATTGTGGCAGACATACCAACAAACTATTTATTATAACAATAACAATTGTAGTGGCTGCCTAGCTTTGCCGTCTCGCCTATATGCAGACATACATACATACATTTGCACATACATATAAGCAACATAATCTTCGAAATATGTTTTCTTTGTACAAGCAATTCAACAAGAGCCAAAGCAACTGTTCGAAATTGTTTAGCTTTTGTTGGCAGCTGAAAGATTTCGACATTGAATGGAAAGGATTTTATGCCACTTCTGTGCGTGGTACTATTTTCAGTAGTCTCTCTACCGGACAAGGCGTACCTCTACTAGTGCAATGTTTTTTATTTATTATAAATTTTTTTTTGCGTAATAAAATAGTTGAATTAAAAATTGAAAATCAAAATATGTTAGGGGAAATTCTCGAAATGGGAAACAAGACAAGCACAATTTTTCTTAAAAAAAACATGAAAGGGGAGCTGTGTTCGTTCATATCAAAGTCTATACACCGTTCATCGTTGTAACAAATTTATGGCATTTCTCTTCTTCTACGCGCCATCTATTTCTTGGAAATACCAAGTATAGACTACAACGAAAGCTTTCAAAGCTGTATTTTAATTCGCTGATCTCTATCAAGGTCGCCGTATGTATCGCACAGCTCGTCGTTCCCGAGAGAATGGATGTTAGGACAAAATAGGGATTAACTAAATTATTATTCTTTACTGACGCTGACACCGTAGACACCACTAATTAGAAATACCGAGAAGTCCAACTTTCGACCACTTTTTGCAGAAATTGAAGCCGTTTGTGAGGAAAATTGCACCGAATATTCCCTTAAAAGGTGTCAATCGTCTCGCATTTATCTGCGAATACAAGCTATCTCACATAACCCCACCGTCGTTAACTCACATACTCCTTGAGGCAACACGAGATTATAAGTTCACCAAAAATTGATTCTTTTTTGGCTCTATGACATGTGCCACCGTCTTGTTAAAACCAAACAAAGTTCAAAAACACCCCCTACCGATAGACTCACTTCGAATGCGACAATATTCTATTAACCATACCCATTTAACCAAAAGTTCATCGCTGAACAAAATTTTCTTGTGAGAATCGGCATCGGCGGCCATCTCGTTTTGGGCTTACCGGTAATCTCCAAAGTTACCGACTAACTGGAATTTATACAAAACAACATTACCTTATATCTCTCGATCAACACAAGCGGACGAGATCAATGCGTGCCCCAACTTTTCGTGGTAGGAGTTCAAGAGTATTCCCGTGGTAAAGCATGTCGTCTATCTTAAGAGGCGACTAAAAGCGATGTGTGTTATTATCCAACTAATGGAAAATATATTTACGGCTACAATAACAACATCAATGCCTGCCTCAATACCACTACATCCTAAATACTGTTTCAGCGACTGAGATGTCCAGAATTTTGTCCATACCATGCAGTTTAGGAGTGAAAGGGAATCCGTCACATATAAGATAATAGACACCGTTGTGGAAGTAGTGGAGGCAGTCAATTATTTCAGTTTTGAAATCTTTGGTTTTGCGTACATATTAAATTAGTCAGCAAAAACTCTGCAGCAACACTCGACTTACAGTCGAAAAAGTAAAGATGAATGTAATAGAGGCAGCAATTCTAACCGGATCTTGCAAAGGTAAAGACAACCTCATTGTTCGAAACCCTATTATTCCGGCCGAAACACCCCTCATATTCAAGGAACTACAGTCCCTGTTCTACAGCGCTTGCAATCATTAACAGTTTCAGTACACACGCAAGTGTTGAATTAAAAAAATTATGATGAACAGATATCCATTGTTCAATTTTTCATACACTAATTGAGCATCTGCCACAACCAAGTGTTGCCAGGTACAGATAGTTTATTATAAAAAAGTTGAGTTTTCAAAAAAAATCCATCTTCACCAATAATATCTCTGCCCATATAATTTAACACCAAGTGGACTTTCCCTCATTGTATGAAACCCATTTGCGTTAAAAGAGTAACCGGACAAGCCGAGGAGATTTATTTTAGTATATTTACTATAGGAAGGAAAACCTTGTGTAAATTTGATCTCAATATCTCTATTTTACTGTTTCAAATATTAATTCCGTATTAAAATTATGTATATATTTTTTTTCTTTTCAGGTGCGTATCAGCGGAGTATTGAGGGGGTCCCTATATTTCATATTGTTATATTTTAATTGAGCTCAGGTGAATGCTTACAATAACTTTTTTCTTTCATAAACTTGAAGCTTTGCTTTAGTATTTATTACAATCAAAGATGAAAGTTAATTGAGCAAATTTCATTATCGAAAATATTATTTTATGTTTGACTGTTTATTCCTCATTTGCTCCTTTTCGCTTCCATTTTTCAATTCAATTTTTCCTGCGCCTATTCATAAACTCACTTAAAGCATATTGCACTTACAAAGCTTACAACCACACCAATATATTTATTTGTACTTATATGTATATATAAATATTTATAGGCTTATTCAAATGCATACATCCCTTTCGGGTAAACAGAAAATTTTCCAACATTTTAACAACGCTTAAGGAGCACATAAACCACTTAAGCACTTCTTTAGCCAAAAAAAAAAATCTCATAAACATTCAGTCAGACAAAAATTACCAGCCACCTACGGTAGAGTAGACTTTCTGAGATTAAGTTATGAGCTCTTGCTCATATATCTGCAAACTCATGTACGTATATGTATACACAATCTGCAGTCAAGTGAACTAGTTATTATATAATACCGGTCTGCTCCTCGAAATGAGCACTACTAATGACGGAGATGTGTTACGAGATGTGTTACGAGATGATAATTTTAAGCTTTCCGTGGCAACTATATTAGACATAAATCAATGCAAGAGTCGAAAATACAGCTATGTAAAATAGCAATGATATGGTAGATTTTATAAATTTTTTGTATACATACTAGTCCCATACTAGCTCAAAATGGGCAAGAGCGCGCCTAGGTGGTAAATGTAATTTCTCACATAGAAAACTAGTTCAAAATAGCCTAGAAGCATAACTTCTCAGCTCTAATATTTTGAATATGGGATCTCCTTACAAATTGGCTGTTCTTGCATTTTATTCGTATATATAATAGTCTTATCCTATTTGCAAAGGGCTAAAAAATACAGCTAGACAAATGGAGGGACTTCAAATTATTCTAAGCGGACTCCTAACGGCAGATGGTTATTTGTGGTGAATTTTTATTTAATTTCAGAAATACACACGCAGGACTTGATATTCCTTGTCAAGGGGCGAACCCTGAACTTCCGAATCTTAGTACACAATGTAAATCACTCGACTGTTATGGTCTTGGTAGCATGTTTGGAAATATACTGGTATCATACTAGTTTGAAATAGATCAAAAACCAAATTATTAAGTAACTGCAATATACTAGTCGTATACTAGTTCAATAAGGTTGAAACCTTAACTAGTCAAGAAAAGTATTTTTAACGTACATGGCAAGTTTCAGATATTTCTGGAACCACATTAGGGCAACACTAGCTAAAAATGAGAAAAATACATTGTATCAGTAACTAATATTTTTAGCTTGGAGATCTCCTACCTATATGGCATATTTTCTATATTTTATTCGAAAACATACTAAGCTAAAATTAGCTTAAACTTAAAATTAGCTTAGCTTAAACTCTGCACTGATATTTTGAACATAGAATTGTCTTACCAGATGGCGATTCTTGAATTTTGTTCGGTTATATACTAGTATCATACTAGTACCAAATGGATACCAATTGCGAAGAGTCAAAAAGAGTGGATTTTGCCACAACACAACATGCTACGGGGAGAAATTTTTTAAAATTTTTGTCTAAAATGTCACGGTCTCATACTAGTTCAAAATTAACAACAAAATTGCTAGTTCGAATTGGGCGCATTTAAATGAGTTTAAAAGCCGTATCAATTAACAACTTTCTGTTTCCCTCATACCCCTTCAAAAATATTTTACACCTTATATTTAATTTAAAAAAAAATTAACGATATTTCATTACTTTATTTCAATATTACTGTACTAGTACTAAACTAGTATTCTTTGTAGTCAATTTTATATTTCGCTGACAGTTTTTAACAAAACTATGACTACAGCGGATGAATGAAACAACGAGAGAAAGAAATAATGTCGAAAATCAGAGTTGAAAATCAAAAAGCAACAGCAAATGAAGCAAAAATTTGCAAGCAACAACACGGTTATCCAGTTCGGGGTTTCGAAAACCAAAGTAAGGAATTCATTTGACTGCTTTGCGAATTTTTTTAAACTTTAAGGTAATTTTCAACCACTCTTTGGCCTATATCGGGCGGTTTCTCAGCCACAATTTGACGAATTTAAGGTTTCAATCCGCAAAACCCAGTCCAACGGTGTCATATCGCGCCATATCGGTGACCAATTGATATCGCCAAGACGAGAAATTACGCGACCGGAGAATTTCTCTCACAGTAAAACAAAATTCGCTTGTGTTGTGTGGCATGTGGCGCCATCTGGTTGAAACCACATATTACCATACCGAAAAATATCGTTTCGTGCTACCATAACGCTCCTAAGTGACAGTCACAGTCTCACCGTTGTCGTTTTCAAAGAAGTGAGTTCCAATCACACCACCGGACCATAGAGCGCACCAAACAGCAAATTGTTTGGGGTTTAGTGGTCGCTCTTCAATTATTAGAAGTTTCTCGGAACCCCATTAGCGACAATTTGAAATATGTCACGTCGCTGAAAAAAATTTTTTTTTTTTCGAAATTTCACTGAAACATAAACCACGATGGGTCATAATTTTTCATAAATGCCTTACCTTTAACTAAGAGAAATCATGTTTGGTTCGATTGTTAAGCTTGGCAGATATCAAAATACAGTCTTATACTTTTGAAACCGCCATATGGATAACCCTTTGCATATGTATATACCTATGTATATAACGTGTATTGTGTTGAGCCTAAATCTACGTATGTCTGTGTGACTGTGTGTTGTGTTGTAGTAATATCTTTGAACAATGAAATAAGCTCATTACCGTTGCTTAAATACACAACCGCATAGAATGTGGCAAGCTGATAGACAGATAAAGCGCTTACTGTGAAAAGATTGCTGAGTGCATGGTTGGTACAAAAACAATAATCGACCGTTATGAGGGACAACCGAAAACCCGAAAACGGTAAGAGCAACAAAAAAATACTCAACTCCAAAATTTGTGTCTGCTTTCCAACACCATTGTCATGGCCAACGACATCATTAATGTCAACAACATTACGATCCAATCGTCTTACTCCCATCTCCTTCACCTATACTTCATCAACATCATTATTTTCTTATTTTTTTTTTTACTCTTATTGCTACTCATCATCGTGGCTTTGAACAGCTGCAGCTGGCAATATGTTGCCAAAAGCAACTGCATCATTTGACGATTGATGATGGAAAGAGTTGAGAGAATGTGGCATCATCTCAGTACAGTCAGTGCATATATACATATATCCATACATATATATGTACTGCATGCTATCAGTGTATGTATAAATATATATTTGTATATGTATAGTCTGTTGGTCTGACCATGGTAGCCTAACTGATTGATCGATTGATTGATTGAGCTTTTAGGTAAATTGAAAAAATAATGGTTTTTTTAAATGGCAGCATAAATGCAATTTTAATGTTCTCATATTTTTGTTTAATTCGTCAAATAAAAAGTGCTCTTTGGAAATTGCAATGTTTTATTCTCCTGTCTGCCCATGAACACCGCTTGCATTACCATTGTATAACCGAATCTACAGTAGTGTGGGCCAAGCATCAACGCACAACGGCGCTGCTTCACCTTATGCTTCAACAGAGCGGAGTTCTACTGGCTCCACTACTTTCATCGGTTCACGGTTACTTTATGTTCATACTGGAGTGTCCTCTTTCACTCGGATGTGCCTTAGTTCCCAGTGAAACCACTATTCCTTGATCAATTTTCTATCGTTTAAGGTATTTTCTGTCAGCTCCACACCGAGAGAACCATAAATCTTTCCATGCATTTTAAGTACCCTTACATTTTTTGCTGGAACTGCAGAGTATTTAATGATAGGTTTCACTTGAACTTCGTCTTCGTTACCTGTTTGTACTAAACATGTAGCTAGAAGTGTAGCAGTGCAGAGATTATGTGGTCCAACTGATAACGCAATGGACGTTGTAACCTCTACTTGAGATTCAATAACAGTTAGTTTCTATTACGTTTCTTCAATTATCTACTAGATAGACTTGTTCAGCGTACGTCTCATTGCGGATTGGAAATTTGTACAATGGACTAAGACAGTATATCGATCTCAGAGCTTCGGAAAAGCAGCAGAAAACTATTTAACGAAACAAAAAAAAATCGGGTCTTACTTAAAAACTTTCAAAAAAGCTATGACGGGAGAATAAAGAGAATCTCTGATTTCCTTCTGTACTGATATTGGAATTAATTCTAAAGAAAGTCGACTTAGGAAAGTCTTCGTCAAGAGCTATATTATCCCAGTCCATAGCCAGAAGTCAAATGGTGGATGGACAAAATCTTTCAGAGAAACTCTGTATCCTCAAATCACCACCCACTTCTCTGTATTCTCTGAGGAATGTCAAGGTGAAATGAGCGATAAGATCTTTTCAACTCTTTAAATCTCCGGGATTAGATGACATCTTTCGATAAGATCTTTTCAACTCTTTAAATCTCCGGGATTAGATGACATCTTTCGCGCTGGCCTACAATCAGCATGTGCCCTATCCCTCTCTAGTTTACCTTAACTGTGCCTTAATGGCACTTACTGGCATCACATGCACTAAGCCAAAGGTAATCTTCATACCAAAAGACGGAAGGACCACTCAGTTTAGTAAACCCTAAAGTTTTTCACTCAATCAGCCTAACAGAAATTTTAGCAAGAACTACGTAGGGGGGATGCAGCACACTTAGTCTAAGCGCAAATTATCGCTATTGATGACATCTAACGAATAATGAGAACGGTCTCACCCTCAAAGAGTATACACTAGGCATTTAACTCGATATTGAGGGAACTCTCAATAATGTTCTAGTAAGAATTGTAAAGTTTTTCTTAGAAAACGTTGAATTAGGAGTAGCATCGGGTGCCAGGTATGCCAAAAAAATGCCCCCACAATTTTGAATACTCTTTTCACTTTTTTAGTGTCTCGCAGTTAACAAATTTCTACGCAAACTAAG